TCCCTCCCGCTCCCTGTCACCTCAGCCCGTGCCCGGCCCTCACCTCTTCTCCGGGCGAGGACACGGCTCTGGGTGCAGCTACTCCACCTGCTCGGTCTGAGGAGGAAGAGAAAGATGCTTTAAGGTCCCGGTGGGCCCCCTGAGCAGGCTCACCAGCAGCAAGGGGTGGGTCCCACTGCCACTGAGTGCATTCCGACTCACAGTGCCTCCTACCTACCGTTTCCGGGACTGTCACTGTTCAAGGGGGCAGCCAGCCTCAGGGTTCCCCCAGATCTTGTGCTAACAGTCCACCAGCCCCTAACCGGGTCTCAGTGCCACCACGACAGGGTAGACAAGCCTTCCAAGGTCCCCACATCCTTGCCGACTGTTGTCACTCTCATTTCCTTTGAATCGGAGCCTCCTCGGTGGGGGTCCCCTTTGGTTTTGAATTGCATCTCTGTTGATGGTCTGGCTCATTTTCCAGTGGCTTTTTCTTACTGCTTCATTTCTACGAATGATCTAGAACGCAGGGATTTGTTTCAAGGGTCTTCCCACATATGGTTTACTTGTTCATGTTTTTAATGATGCCTTTTACTAAGTAAAGATTCTCTGTGTTAATGTCACTCAACAAAAAATCCAGCGCCATCGAGTTGATTCTGACTCACAGCAACCCTGGAAACCAGTTGTTCTCAGCCTTCCTCATGCCCTGACCCTTTCATACGGTTCCTCATGTGGTGGTGACCCCCAACCATAACATTATTTTCGTTGCTACTTCATCACTGTCATTTTGCTTCTGTGATGAATCGGGCGACCCCTGTGAAAGGGTTGTTCGACCCCAAAACGGGTCGTGACCCATAGGTTGAGAACTGCTGCAGGGGTTTCCAAACGCTCCATCTTTCTCCGGTGGCGGTCCAGCCTCCAACCTTGTGGTTAATAACAGCCCAGCACTTAGCCGCCGGCAGCACCAGGGCTCCCTGCGGCTCAATGTATCCATTTAAAAATGATCGATTAGAGGACTGATCCACATTTCTGAAGTCTTGTTTGAGAAACCTTCCCACCGTAAGGCCATGAAAACAGCACCTCCGTTCTTTTGTAAGACCTTTCTCCTTTGGCCTTTCACCGTTAGCGCTGGAAATGGCTTTCGTGTGGGCTGTGAGGTTGGGCACGGCGTGCTGCCGGCACAGTGCGTTACTCTCTGGACTACTAATCGCAAGCTCGGGGGTCGAAGCCACCAGCTGTCCCTGGGAGAAAGAAGATGCGCTTTCTGCTCTTGTAAAGACCGACAGCCTTGGCAGCCCCCAGGGCAGCTTCACTGTCCCAGGGGGTCACCAGGAGTTGGCATCTGCTTGATGGCAGGGAGTTTTTAGTTGAGTGAGGGAGGGGCGCTCCTCTGTGTAGGCTATGAGGGAGGGGTGCTCCCTCTGTGTAGGCTATGAGGGAGGGGTGCTCCCTCTGTGTAGGGTGTGAGGGAGGGGTGCTCCCTCTATGTAGGGGGTAAGGGAGGGGTCTCCTTTTGTGTAGGTTGT